TTACACACAAAAACTTTTACACACAGAAGGTTTTACACACAGAAGCTTTTAACACAAAAAAACCTTTAAACAAAGGAGCTTTTACACACAGACGGGTTTACACAGAGAAGTCTTTACACACGGAGGCGTTTACACAGGAAAGAGTTTACACGGAAGCGTTTACACAGAGTAGTTTTTACACAGAGAAATTTTTACACAAAGAAGTCTTGACACAGAGAAGCTTGCACACACAGAGGCTTTTACACACAGAAGCCTTTTACACAGAGCGGCTTTTTCACAGAGGAGCTTTTACACAGGGGAACTTTTACACAGAGAAGCTTGTACACTCAGAGGCTTTGACACAGAGAAGTCTTTTACACAGAGAAGCTTTTGCACACAGAAGCTTTACACAAACAAAACCTTAACACAGAGGAGCTTTTACAGACAGAAGCTGGTACGCAAAGAAACTTTCGCAAACAGAAACTTTTACACACAGAGCGCGTTTTACACGGAAGATTTTACACACAAGAGCTTTTACACCAAAAACCTTTACACAGAGAAGTTCTTGCCCACAGAAGCTTTTACTTGCAGAAGCTTTTATGCAAAGAAGCTTTTGTACAGAGAAGTCTTTACCCATCTTTTATCATGTCTCATTTTTCATGATCATTTGCCATCTGTCACCTTCATATATATCTTCGTTTTCATGCTCTTTTGGTCAGCTCCCTCTGTCGTTTAATTTTCATTTCGTTCTGTCCGTCCACGCTTCGTGCTCGCTCCCTCTGCGGCGAAGCAAACTAAACGAGAACGCAGAATTAGATAGCGACTAGACAGATGGGATAGAGTTAATTACATTAACAGAAATAGCGACTAGAAGACTGTAGGCGTAGCTGACACAGCATGCTGTGGTGAATCGTGGCCCCTGATACCATCAGTGCGCACGATGTTTAAGTAAAGATCTTACGTCGATTTCGTGCAGAGCACAGCTGGCCACACCCCAAGATTTTCAAGAAAAGGCGTGCTGTGTGCCGTCTTGCTTTTGGGTTCTCTGGCCCACCTTGTTTTCAATGGGCCGGCTGTCAACCATACAACCCACAGACCTTGGCGCCTACGCGGAGTTCTGAACAGTTGATGGATCGATTGGATGGACTCCAGCCATAGACTTAGATGTTGAGTTTTAGGATTACTCTCTGGTAATTTAACAGTTTGCTACTGAAAAAACAACATGTTTAATGGCTACATCAGTTATTTCTATGTCCATTTTCTATGTCGCAACCTGTTAGTTTACCAGAGGGTACCTCCCCCTTAACTCCCCATGAACCCCCTATTTCACCAAGAAATCTCAGCCAGGAGCGTGCTCAGCAACTTCTTGAGATCGAGGCAGACACTGATGGAGGAATGCCCCAGGACCAAAACCATGTTAGCATGGGAATTATAGCATATAACAACTTAGATGGATGATACATACTATATGGTATATATAGTGAGGTATACAATAACCACCGACAATATGTACATGGAAATTTTGGCGATTTATCAACCTATTTTGGAGGGAGCGATACGGAGCAAGGGGTATCCATATTCCCTTTGAAATGGGGAGCCACAGAACTACGAATAGAGTTTCCCAACTTTAGTTAGTTGACGGAAATATTTCACTAAGAGTACGGCTAGCTGTTCAAACTAATCAACTGGTACTCGTAGTGGCCAAGTAATTCATACTGACCATAAGGGATTAGCTGATGGAAAATTCAATCAATCCCCACAAGCTTCGTTAAACCCCAGCAAACATATGTGAAATGTTGGATATAGCTCGCATTTTCTTTAGTGTGTGGTTCATAGTTGTAACCAACATACAAATGGGTTTCCTTTTTGACCCTTCAAAAAGGAGGATATACCTTCATTTTTTTGATGGTTGGTTGATGGCGGGTCTTGTCGGGGGGATCAAAAAAAGAGACTCTTGAAAACTGCCACTCTTGGTACCACAGAAGAGTGCCGGATGCAAAGTGTTTTTGGACGTTTACCCTCCGGTAATTTAACATAGCTATGGAAATCACCTTTTTTAATGGGAAAACTCACTATAAATGGTGATTTTCAATAGCTATGTTAAATTACCAGAGGGTAATCGATGAATCAACTTCTTTGATACATTTCATGATTCAACCAGCGAGATGAGGAAATAGCTCCAAGCAATACTGGTGACACAAAGATTGGAAAGTGGAAATCAAATCTCCCAAAGACAACAAACAAAGGGACGGATGTGGTCAGCTATGGGCCAAGGTCGAATGCCCAACCCTCAAGTGAAATCGCGTGGAGGAGATTCCCCGACTGAAAGATACCTATGGTTGAAACCATAGACCAAAGTGCTGCGGAGCGTCGTTAGACATGTTGCTTTTGGCAGCTACTTTGGATATGAAGTTGAATAGAAAAGCCATTATATAAACAGGGGATTTCCCCGCTAGCCATGTTGATTACCACATGGTAGATGGCTTCCCCAATGGCACGATGGTTTCTTAGGCCAAAAGCCATCAACCTTGGGTTAGCTACCTCTCATTTACATCAATTCATGGTCAGTTTCCGGGCGGACCTTGGATTCCGAAGCCCATTTTTTCAACATTTCAGAAAGTGGTTTCATCCAAATTGTGGAAATCCATCAGGAATCTCCCATTTTTCCAATCTGGATTTTCCACTTCCGAATGTTTCTCCGGCGGATGGCTCCAGGTGCGAAAGGAAAAGCACCGCTTAGCGGATCACTCCTTGGCCGAGCACATGGAGAATGAACGCTTGGAGCAACAGGACAGGCGGACAGGCCCATGATATGCCCAGGGTGTATTCAGAATGCTTGGTGTTATAAGTTCCATAGCACAAGTAATGTTAGTTAAGTATATTTGATTATGTTAATTGGTGAACATCATCACTTATCCACACTTATAGTATCATATATGGATAACTTGTTGATATGTCGCATATTTATCCATACATGTACCTATCGCATTCGGATATTTTCTGCTACATGGGATTTACCCTCTGGTAAACTAACAGTTCGCTATTGAAAATGACCATAGAAAGTTCGTTGATTTACCCATCAAAAATTGTTATTTTCCTGTTCGTCATGTTGGTTTACCTGAGGGTATATAAATTGGGTAATATGGTAGACTATGGTTATATATATATATATCCACTTGTGGTATAATGATGTATAATGTATACTAACTATGTTGGTATACCATACTGCAATATGCTTATAATATGTTGGTTATAGACTGAGGGTACGATTTCCCCAGGAGTTGGAGCACAAGTTGGACATCGAGAAACGCAAGCAGCGCGAACGGGTGAAGGTCATCAACCAGCAGCAGATCGCCATGAAGGAGGCCGCACGGGGCCGAAACAACGAGGGGTTAGGCCTGGGCAGATTGAAAAGTGTTGGGCTTGCTATGGGTTAATGATGGTTTAATATGAGTTAATATGGTTTAATATCGGATAATATGGGTTAATATGGTTTAATATGGTTTAATATCGGATAATATGGGTTAATATGGTTTAATATGGGTTAATATCGTTTTAAAATGGATTACTATGGTTTAATGATGGTTTAGTATGGTTTACTGTGGATTACTATGGTTTAATGATGGTTTAATGATGAAAAATGGAGAATATGACCCATTCACCACTTTTTGGTTGGTGTTCATATGGGAATTATATGGTTGGTATAGGATAAATCTGGCTATAAACCATCAAAATGGTTTAAACATGCAAAATGCCAAACATTCATCAATACTTATCGGTTTATTATAAAGATACTATGCAGAAAAATGTGGCTTGATGGATATGGCTGCTGCATCTGTAGCCATTAGGGAAAGTGATGATAAAGCATGGGACTTAATGGGGACTGAATGGACGTTCACCACCTATTCACCACAAATTCTCGCTTAGCGGATGCGTTTATCATGAAGAACTGTGAAATAATTAAGTCATGATTAGAATGTTGGTAGTGATTATTATGAGGGATTTCAGCATATATAACACTACCAAGTGATGTTACCCCTGGAGCTGTCCCTAGCCACACCAGGCATCACGTGAAGAGGCTTTGAAGGAATACATCAAGGACGGGCTGGAAATCAACGAAAACCCAGGGCTGAACAAGAGATGCGCCACGCTAAAATTTCTCCATTTGTCTGTGTTCAATATTTACACCAGCTACCCTCTGGTAAACTAACATTACTATGGAAACTCACCATTCGAAAATCCACTATAAATGGCAATTTTCAATAGCTATGTTAGTCTACCAGAGGGTAAATATGTTTCACATGTTGAAATGCTACGTGAAAACATGTTTAATTAACCAGCAATGTGGGGTGGTAAAACATGATAATCCCATTATTGAATAAACCCACTGGTGAAACCACCAACTGCAGGTGAATTCTTAATCCGAACTCCAAGCATGGTCTTCTCCCATGAAGATTGGATTTTAGCCCATAAGATTCAGGTGATTCCTTGATGTGGACGTTAACTAGTGCTAGCCACCATTCTGACCCAGCTGTATCCAGTTGTATACGGAATATACCCAGTTACATTCGAGTGTCTATCCACTTCCTTATGGAATGCAGATGACAAGGCCGGATCAGATTTCCGCAGAAACTATGGTAAAATGGTAGATGAAATCACCTATCATTGGGACCCTAGGATGGGAGTGTAACTAGTAGCTACTATCGGGATGGGATAATCTTACGCCGCAAGTTCAGGTCAAGCTCCCATTTCTACTGTAGTTGCATCTGCGAAAGTACCTTTTGGAATCACAATTCTAGAGATCTCCTTCGGTTTTGAGAAAGGTGTATATACTAGTGTATATACTATTAGGCATGTCAACGTCTCTATATGTATATACAATGTATGTATATACAGTGTGCGTATCTGCGCTATATCATTGTTATCATCATTGTCATTATCATCATTACCATTATCACGTTGATATTCCTTCTATCATTTTTTATAGCGAGTTGAGTTGACGTCGTTCGTTCTTCATCCAGGAGCGGAAGCAAGTGGAGGAGTTGGTGGCCAAGATCGCCGAGGAAGACGCTAAGGAGGCGAAAGCGCGCTCGGAGAAACAGGTGGAGTGCCCTGGCGAGATCTGGACGATCGGTGGGCAACCTGGTTCGGGTTTTTGGCGGTGAAACACTGGCGAAAGATACGAGGGCCTTTACCGCAAGCGTTGCTGGATTTGTGAAAACGGGCATTTGGCGGTTTGATTTTTGAGCCCTCAAAAAGGGTTGTTTTGGGTGTTTTGGATGCTTAGATGGGAAGAGGGCCAAAATTAAAATCACGGGGAGTAGCGTCTATGATGGTGAATCCTGAAGCTATGGAGCAACCCACAGTGGAATTCCCAATGCCGTGCGTTACCCGAATGGTAGGATGATGGATTGTGTGTCAACCACCGATCATGGAAATTTGGCAACCCAAAGATTCGATTTTCTAATCAACAGCCATTTGATGATTTACCTTCCAGTAAACTAAATAGATATGGAAACTCCACCATTTATAGAGGAGCCCCAGCGAAACCCATGGACCCATGGATTTCCGCTACTGAAAGGTCCAAAGTTAATACCATGAATACCATGACCATGATATCCCCACTATCACAGTAGTTCTACGTAATTTTTGATGCTTAGATCCCGATTTCGCACGAGGTCGCGACAGATGTTACAGAAGTTCATGCTGGAACAGCTGCTTGACCGGCGGTTAGGGAGGAACATGGCAACGGCGAAGGGTACCAACAACATTTCCCCAGTGTTGGTTCAGAATGATAGTGGTTAAGAGTGGTGTTTCATAGTGGTTAATCATGGTTGTTCAATAGTGGTTGTTAATAGAGGTTGTATAATAAGTAAATGTCAATAGTTGCTGACAATAATATAAAACTATATATATAGGTTAAGTAATGATGGTTGAGAATATGACAGCCGCAAAACAGCTCTGTTGACACCACCGAAGTCGGAAGGTCACTGACATTCTGTCCTAGGATGGACACCAAGAGGGAAGTTGGAAGCATCAGTCCAACTGTTGAGGTATCCCAAAGTTTAGTGATACATCGAATTTCCCATAGAATTGAAGAACCTTATTTGTGTGTGTTCTCAAGACTGAGGTAGGTACTCCAAAACAATCAAACTTTTCCGCGTAGAGAAAAAGACCAATTTTGGATGGCTTAAAAATCCGCTGTGAAGCAAACCCATCAAAACACCCATGGATTCGTCCACAACAGCTTTGATGGCTGGATTAGATTGGGCCACCTTTGAAATCTCCTATGGACCAAGACATGTTCCCAAATTTCTCTGATGAATCATCCCAACTATGTCCTTGATAGCATATATTGTATACATAGAGATATTTGAGACATCTGTAGTTACACAGTCATGTATACCAAATATTGAATGCACCCTGACCCTTATAATATATATATATATGTGATTATACGTACACTGCGATATGATCCCCATTATATCCCCATGATACAGCATTTTTCTTAGTTTTGCTGGCATCCCAATGATATGTATTTGAGAATCATCCCACTTAGCAAGTGTCCCAGTTATAGCTGGGGAACTAGGCTCATTTGCTGAGATGTTTGCTGCTTACGTGGAGGTTCATCCCACTTAACTTCTATGACTGATATTGTATCCACCAGTGGGATACTTAAGACTGATATGATTTAACTGAAATATGAGACTAAACGTTTAAAAATGTGATACCAAGTATCATTCATACTATCAGTTAGAAAAGTTATCACACCAAGTACCATCCCATAGAGTCACCATTGAAGTACCATTCAATGGATTGGTTTAAGGGAAAATCTACAGGAAACCATAGATTTTCCCATTAAATATGGGGTTTTCCTGTAAAAATTTCCCTTAAACCAATCCATTGAACCATAAAGATCAACAAATTCCCATGGAAAATATCATGAAATCCACCGGACCCAGGAAGGCCAACCAAGAGAAGATCGAAGCCGAAGAGCGCGCCGAGAACGAGCGCATCGAGCAGTTCGCCCGCGACAAGCGCGAGCGCGAGGCCACGGATGGAGATCTGGTGCGATGTAATTGGGATTTCATGGAAAATATTGGGATTTCTATCATCATGTGTATGATTTATTGGGCTGTTGTAGGTTTGTTGATGGAAATCTAAGTGGAGGTATATACAAAGAACACCAATATTCATTGATATTCATGAATGAATTAGTGAATATCAATAGGATATCTTTAAGGTTAAGTGGATTATAAACCATTCAGATTTCACCTCGATGAAATCTATGGATACCCTCTGGTTATGACTAACATGGCCATGGTATAGATGGCCCATAGAAATAGATGGTTTACCTATTAAGAGGTGATTTTCCATGGCTATGTTAAACAACCAGATGTTAATACAGTTTAAAGCTCTGGATGTTTTCACCTGCTGGGGTTTTTATGGGGATAGAAACCAGCAACAAAGAGAGAATTCAGCGGCCTAACTATCGAGTGGCTAGGGAACGATCAGGAGCTATGGTGGAATCCAATGACCATCCATATATTTCCCAATAGAATGGGGAGCATTAGGGAGCTACGGATAGAGTTTCCCAAGATCAATGGGTTAATCGATGTTCCTAGAAAAATAGGTTTACACCACGCGCAACATCGGAATTGAAATCTTCAAAGTCCTTAGGAGATTAATGGATATTTATGATGAGCTTTGGGCCTTTGGGATATCAAAATTGTTGACATTGTGGATGCTATGAAGCTTCAACTCTTTGTTTGGAAGAACATGGTGACATAAATAGTCTAAACCTGCATGAACAGTAGAAATAGGGATATGAACCATGAAAAGCTCCAAAAGGCATGGATATGAACTAATCCATCAAAAGCCTGGAAAATTATGGAAAATTTTCACATAGAGACTCAAGAAAACAATTTACTGTATGTGGATCACATAGTTGTTTGCCAACCTTACAAGGGAACGTTTATCAAGCAACTTTGCAAGCAACCATCTTAGGGATAATCTCAGTTGGTGATTTTTGGGGTTGAGCTGGACTGAAACCAGACCCCTGCTGTGATATGCTCTCACCGGCGCCAAGAGGTATACACATCATGTATGGCAATCTCACCGGGCAATGGAAAATGTTGATTTGTTATGAGAAGGTAGTGGGGGAATTTCCATTGCCAGCTCCATTCTCACAGGTGAGGCACTCAGATATATCAACCAGAACCTAAAAGTCACCAGTAAACTGCCGCTGTGTCTTCCCACTGCGTGAATCTTGCTACTTGGATGTGCATCCCACTTAGTTTCTAAGTGGGTTTCCATAAATGGGGGTATCCCAATAGCTGGATGGTTTATAAGGGAAAATCCTCCATAAGTGGGTTCATGAGCCATACACTTGGGCCTATCCCCAGTACAGCCATTCCCAGGATGCACATCCCAGAGGGAGCCCACTGGTCATATCCCAGTCACAGACGAATGTAACTCTTGGAGGTATATATCTCAGGACACACCAAAAGCTTATAAGTTGTAAGGTTGGGTTTATACCCCTGTAATCCCCTGTGTATCAATTCTATCCCCTTTCTATCTGTGTTGTCCCTTATCATATCCTTTCTTCTAGTGATCTATTTATCGTTAACTGATTTTTTGGTTGCATATCCCCAATTCCATCCCAATTGTCACGTCATGTCATTACCATAAAACCCGGATATAGAACCACTTGTGACACTGTCCATTTCTTGCTGTAAGGTTGGTGACATACTTTACATCCAAATCGAACTTCCATTGAACTGTTACCAGTTCCCAAGTTCCTGATGACACCTGAGCTGTTGGGATGCAGGAACGCATGGAGCGTGAGCGCCAAGAAAAAGAAAAGGAGCCGGGGTCAAAACCGGCAGCGAGTTGGCCGAGAAAACCGAGAATATCCACGTGGGATAGCCTGGGATATGTTGATATTATGTGGAGAGAATGTTGATAATTTAATGGTTTCCTGAAAAGGCCACAAGGAAGGAAAGAAGACATGAACACCACCACTTGATGATGTGATGAAAAGGCGGTGATATAACCAACAAGAAAAGGAAAACCTTGAAGCAGGTGTTTTTTGTGCTTAGCTGAAGTATATGCTCATCCCCAATGCCCCAGTCTTCACCACCCAGTCCAACCAAATATGGCCGACCTTGAGCCGAAGAGATGATGGGTTTTGCGAAGAGGAAACCATCAGGAAACCATGTCCCAATGGTCAGGATCCAAATTGGGAGTTTCGCAAGGAGATTCCACGGTGTACCATTTGGGAAGTTGATTAAACTCATGGGCAAACGCTTTAGGTTCATGAGACAAAACGGAATTGTACCTACGATTCATGACAAAGTTGCAACGCATTACTATTCATGTTTTGCACGCAAAGAAACAAGAGACTATTGACTGTTGAACCTTCACATACCATTTACTATCCTGATACAACAGTCATGCCGCAATCCCTCGCGTAGTTTATAGTCCAATGTATCATGATAAATGGTAAAGGATTACTATATAAGCACTCACAGCTAAACTTTGGTACTTACTATAGTAGTAAGATCACCGGAAGTTACTATTGTAACACCGATAGAAATCCCGAACAGTTAATGCTCTAGTGCTAATGTAAATACATGTAATTACTATAGTCCCTAGTGACCTAGTGTTCACTATTAAGAGCCCCCGACGCAAGGGTGCCCCACGCGTCACAGGAGAAGACCCGCGTTCTCAACGCCATGCTAGGCAAAATGGAGGCCGCTGATGCCGGAAATGGACCATGTGGTGTTGTTTTGGCACTTTGAGGGTGTGGCTTGGGAAAGGGATTCATGTGGGACAGTACTAAAACTATATTAAGATAATTATTATATAAGATATTTCTTGATTTGGGAAAAATCATTGAGTTTTGTTCGGCGGAGGTTTTCAGCCATACAAATATCAATGACACACATGGGATCATGGGATAATCGACATGTATGGTATACGGATCAAAGATGATAACCATGATAAACACATGATCAAAAATCCACACGTATGGTATTATCTATGGTATTAAATGTATATATATATGATAATCCCTTTGATGCCTAAGCTTTTTTCAGGATTTTGGGCCAAGGGAAACCGGAGTGACCAACAAACCAACTGGTGGCCCCCGGTGACCTCACCGGATTCTTTCCACTTGGAAAAGCGCCCGGTTTGTTGGTGAAAGTTTCCAGTTGGATGAAATCTCCCGGGTTGTTGAACTCAACATGCTTCAGAACTGTTTTCACAAGTTCCTTTTGGATACCCAATCGTTCAACTGGTCTTTCTCGCACTGGTTTTGAGGAGCAATCGTTCAACTTGCTCACAACCACCGGTAGATGATGGTAAATGGCATACTCAGCTGACCACTCCAATTTCCCAAACACATTCAGACATGTTTCTCACATGTGTTTATGTGTGTTGGTTGGAAAAGGGCAAAAATTAGCTTACCCCAGCGACTTGACTTTCCCATGACAGATACCTCAATAATTAGATACATTGTTTTCCGTACAGAATTGAGTCCAGGCCAAGAACAAGGAAGCCGAGGAGTTGCGCAGTCTTGTGGGACGTGTCAGTTTGACCATCCCAATGGAGTGGTATCTATCTTCTTAGTTTAGCTGGTATATCCCAAAATCCCCAAAATCCTTGGCTTATCACATTGTTTGATATGCCAATTTGGGGATATCCATCTTAGTTTATATGAGATGGTTGGTATATCCCCAAAATCCTTGTTTTAGTTGGTTTAATAGTGACAAAACAATGACAATGATGATTGACAATGGGATTTGGGGGGCAAGTTTTCAGGGAAATCCAAATGGTTGGTGCTATCCATCTTTTGAAGCCACAAGACATGCCACGTTTATCCTCAGGATGCATCCCGTCCTAAATCTCCTCTGTAATGTCATCCCACGAGATGATAGGTGTGTTACAGCACTTTTTGATCGCCAAGAAGACATCTCCCACTATTTCTGGCCGGACTACATCGATGTCTACCATGTTTGATGTTTAGATCCCCACATTTCATGGTTCAATTGATGGTTTTTCCACGTTTATCCACAGTCATGGTATGATCTCCAGTCTGGACGTATGGTAAGTTGTATGTCCCCACTATATCCCATTCATCCTCTCCCAGAGAGACCCTATAAAATCCATGGCTGTCTGTATCTGTCTCAATTCTTCACTCAAAAGAGGGTTGGGTCCCAAGTAGTAAAACCAGGTTGGGTGAAATCCCCATATGAAACCTGCAATGGCACTCCCCATGATGGGAGAGTGGATCCATTGTGTTTTACTATTGACAATATCCCATTGACCGCCCATATGCTGCTGGCTAAATCTGAAAGTTGACTTTCATATGTCCATATTTCCATGTTCATCCCCCTTTTATATCCCTTTGCATCCCTAGTTACCATAAATTTGTAAATATCCATGATATCACCCTAACTTTTAGCCCCACCTCTGAAGTGTTCACCGTTGATGCCCAAGGTTTCACTCTATGTTTGATGGTTAAATCTCCACATTCATATGCCTATAGCCAGTCCCAAGTAATCCCACCGGATCTCATCATATCCCCTTGAAAACAGCTGGAATCAACCCCACTTTCAGACCCCATAGAAAAAAATCCCTCTCATGTTCAGACCCCTTTTTGAAAAATCCTATCGAATTCCCAGAAAATCCCCAGATTTTTCATGGCTCAAAGGAGCTGGAGATCCTGCGCAACGAGTTGCACTTCGAGGAGCTTCAGGCGGAAGCGCGCCGCCTTGACGAGATGAGGTCGGTGGGGGATGGTCAAAGCACGAGCTGAAAAATTGGAGAACCATGGAGATTTCAACTGGATTTCTATGGGGATTTCATAGGGGGTTCATGGAGATTTCATGGTGGTTTCGTGGAATTTTTCATGGGATTTTCTAGTTTGATGGTGATTACTGGGACATCAATGATGGAATTGGGAAATAATAATAGGGATTTGACCCAGAAATAGTGGATGAATGTGGTGATCCACTGGGCTGGTTGGACAGACTTTTTGACATGTTTTAACTTCCTCGGGAATCCCTGAGGAAAATGATGGTTTGGGGATGGTTAGGGTAGTTCACCAGCTATTGATGGAGCTTCTTGGACCTCACTGCGACCTAACCCTGGAATCATGGTTTTTATAGGGAGATCATCCCCAAATGGCCGAACTATTCAGGTTAGTGAAATATTATAATTTACCCATATATTTTTACATAAACCAACAAGAATATGAACTGAACCAACGAATCATAGACATTAGTGGGCTACATACTGGGTAGATCTCGATGACTAGTTCTAGCACAAAATACCCTACATCGAACTGCAAAACAAACAGATTCAAAACTTCAGGGTTTCTGTAGGAGCGTTTGTTTGTTCTTTTCTTGGGAAGCCCCTGACTCACACATCCAAACAAGGCCAACAACATGTTTAAAAACTTGTAAAAAAGTAGAAGCCTCCAACTGGTCAAATTCGGTCTGGTTCAACCCCGAACAAAGATAGCTGCCGTTACCCTCTGGTAAACTAACATAGCTATTGAAAATGGCCACAGAAATACTTGATTTACCTATAAAAAATGGTGATGTTCCATATTTTGTTGTTCGTTTACCAGAGGGTACCCAAAAGCGTTACGCCGCTTCGCAGGATGCGCAAGAAGTTGGAAGATCGGGAGGAGTCGGGCAAACCGGGTAAACCGGCGATTTCAGCAACAACATTTTAGGGAGATCTAAGGAGGGAAACCCATGTCATATCCCTACTGGTTGGTGGTTTGGAACATGTTTCCCATATATTGGGAATGTCATCATCCCAACTGACGAACTCATATTTTTCAGAGGGGTTGAAATCACTAACCAGATTAGAAAATGGAGATTCATAAATGGAAAGGATTATTGGACAATATGATTGTAACAAATAATGGGGACAGGATTAGATAATGTAGATTCATATTGGATAGTGGGGACATGATTTCACCAATTTTTAATGGACATTACTACTGCTTTACCACTTGCTTTTTTTATTTGTGGTCAAAAATGGAAAGATGTCAACAGAACCAGCTAGGAGTTTGCTTTGTTGCGACTGAAACCAGCAGGCTGTGGGGAAACCCACCACTTTGTCCCTTGGATTCCCAGCAGCTTGTTGTCCACGGAGTATTGGCTTGGACCAGCCCTGCAAACAAAAAGCAGCCAATTTCCGAGAACTTGCCTTCGTTTCTGGAAACTTTGCAGTCGAACCCCGATCATATCCAAATGGTTTCAGGCTGTTTCCGGCGAAGCTTTTCCCAACAGCCAATCCCGTCGTCGCCAGGAGATGAAGAACGCGTACCTCATTCAGATGCGGCGCAAGGAGGAGAAGATGATGCGCGCGCGGGAAGATGAGGCCACAAAGTTGGATCTTACCATCAGAGGCCATAGTAATATGATCTGAGGCAATTTCCATCAATATCATTCATGAGACCATAGGAAATATGTCAACCGTTACCGTATGAATATCATGATGTTGATCAATAGTGATGGAATGATCATATTTAGATCATTTATGGAAAGATATCAATAGAAACCATCACTGCGTTTTCTTAATATCTTAATATGATCAGTAAGGTATTGATATCTTTCCCATGGATCATCTGATGGTAGACCTTCGGTAGATATGGAGGTTTCCATGTTGAATCACCAATAGCTGGTTTTGTTTATCGAAAATCCAAAACAATGGATGATGAAATTGGGTACCCATCCCCATGACTTAGGAAACCCCCATATGATCAATAGTTGTTAGCATGGTTTCCTCGATATGTCATTAAACATGTCAATAATCATTAAGCATGTTGTTAATATGATCATCTAATCCTTAATATGTCAATCCTGTCCTTATGAAGCAATCACGTATATTTGATTTGGTGTTATGATAAAGATATTGATGTTGTTACTAGTTGTCCAATAGTTCCTGATGAAGCAATAACTCGACTTATTTTTCAACATTAAGTTATCTGGGTGATCCTTTGAGTTGTTGTTGATCATGTGATGTTGAGTTGTTATAATCATCTGGATAGATGGTTTATTGAGGGTTGTTAGAACATATTAAACAGATTACAAGAGAGGTTATTGCAGCCTATGGATTGTTCTTGGAGTATGTTAGCCTTGTTCTTGGAGTATGTTAGCCTATGGTATATTTAATACCCCCCCGTTTGCATGATGGGTTAACCTATCTATGGATCATTAGTAAGTTATGACCGTTGGAGCACGAATAGCCCTCAGGCGACGGTTTGATGGCTATTCCTACTGGTGCTAAAAGTAGTTCACGGGAGAATGGGATGATTCGAAAAATAGCTATGGATTGGATAATTTTCCCTTTCCCAAGTACTGGGGGGTATGGTAAGAGAGATTATTAAAACCTATGGTTTAGGATATGTTAACCTATGATATATATATATGAAAACCCCAGAAAACGAGGCTTGTAATTGCAGAAAAATGGAGGCTTAAAGGGCAACATGCAAAACATGTAGCTGAAATGCGTACCACGAAATCGCCCCTATTGCAGGGGCGGTTCATCCTGTATTACTATAAAAGCTATATTGTCACCAAATCGTTACGTAGATTTCTTTTGTTTACTATTTGGGAGTATAAAAGTCTATGGAACCGGAAAACCAGGCTACCTCCAGTTTCGTTTATCTTCATGGCTTCCCTATTAGAATGGCCATTTGGGGGTATCCCCCTATTCTCAGACAAGCCCAATAGTTACTGTTGCATGTGATATATCCATATTATTTTTATATGTATGTATTCCCATTGTATTCCCATTCTATATATATATGTGTGTGTGTGTGTCCCACGCTATTCCCATCATTTCCCAACTATTTGCCATTTTATCAATCGCAATATCCCCATTTGCTTGGTTAAATAGTGGGGATATTGTGTATATAGGCCATAGAGAGACCAAGATGGGATAAATAATGGTCTCCTAATTACCATTATTTCCAAACAAAAATACCCCTTAGGCCACAACATCCCCTCCAAAACAACTGAAATGAGACAAAAAAATGCTATACTGTACTTACTATATCCCGTTGATGTACTACATATGTATATATATATATATTATGTTTTATATATGTGTGTGTTTTCCTCAGAAGGTTTTCCCCACGTGTTTTTCCCAGCAATCCCCTGAAAAACATCGGTGAAGGCCAAGATGCGCGACGAGCTCATGAAAAAGTTCGCGGAGGACGATCGCCTGGAACAGGTCAGCGAGCACAAGCGCCGCATGAAGGCGCCACGCGACGATGGCGCCACGGGGGGCGCCAGTGAAAGCAATGAAAAGATGGGGAGTTCACTGGGAAAAACAGGGAACAATATGGGGTTTCACTGGCAAATCAGAAACTTGTGATGGTTTCAGCAAAATTGATCAGCTGATCAGCTGGTTTTTAGATGGAGGAACAGTGTGTGAGACAATGTCTGTTTCGATTTCGGTTGCCTAAACTCACACAAATCATGGTGACGTCATGTTACTTCAGTTCTGCTGTACTAAAAACAGAATACCGGGTTCTTGTATTTTTGCTGTGAAGCAGTGGGGAAAAGAAACCGATCCTCCATTTCTTGTGCAGTCATCCAATCACCTTTTCTTTCCGGAAAGCACAATGGCTCAAATTGACTAAAAGAAGGAGTCTCCAAGAAAATCAGCACATGGGCAACTGAAAGTATTTTCGTTTGTTGGCAGCTGACAGGTGTTGGCATCCAGTGGCTTATCGATGACCGTTATAAGTAATGTAATTAAGCCTAACGCGGGACCACATCCAACAGCCAGTAAAAAGGTTTATTTGATGCTGCTAGCAGTTCATCAACGAACAGTGCCTACAGTGCCTTTGTTTGGCACACAACTTTTTGAAACAAAAAACATGTTCACAAAGTCTGATATTTGCTGATCCATCGGGAGGAGGAGCAGGAAGGCCAATGACGTCCAGCGGTGTGGGTGGCTATTCAGGACCGGCTGGCTGTGAAGCACTTGAGATTCAGGTGCTATGCCTCAATGGTGAAGGATGCAACTTCCCCGTGAGTGGGTCCACTCGAGGACATGAAGTGCGTCAGATGGTTCTGCAGCGACTTCCTTCAAAGAAGGGGAGAAGATGTGGCGCGCTATATCATCAAAATTCACCGCTGCTGCTCCACCAAACGTTGCAAGAGCAAGGCATTATAGGTAAAACCGTGACGCTCTCCTGCACGTTTGTTCCTACAGATTTGCATGCTGCATTTTGCTACATCAACGGCTTGCAAGTCTCTGCGGGAGAGTGTGCACTAGACGGAGTGACAAAGCTGGAAGGTGTAAGCTCCGATGTGTATTTACAGCATCTTCCCCAAAGTCTTAAGACCCTTGCTTTTCACACTCAATTCAACAGGAGACTGCAGACAGTGAGCTTGCCAAGCGGTCTTCAAAGTTTGACATTTGGAAGTGAGTTTAACCAGAGGCTAGATGGAGTGAGCTTGCCAAGTGGTCTTCAAAATTTAACTTTTGGAAATGAATTTAACCAGAGGCTGGATGGAGTGAGCTTGCCAAGCGGTCTTCAGAGTTTGACATTTGGGCATCGATTCAACCAGACCCTTGACGGAGTGAGCTTGCCAAGCGGTCTTCAGAGTTTGACATTTGGATATTTCTTCAAACAGAGGCTGGATGGAGTGAGCTTGCCAAGCGGTCTTCAAAGTTTGACATTTGGGCATCGATTCAACCAGACCCTTGACGGAGTGAGCTTGCCAAGCGGTCTTCAAAGTTTGACATTTGGAAGTGAGTTTAACCAGAGGCTACATGGAGTGAGCTTGCCAAGCGGTCTTCAAAGTTTAACATTTGGGCATGGATTCAACCAGACCCTTGACGGAGTGAGCTTGCCCAGCGGTCTTCAAAGTTTGACATTTGCAAATGATTTCAATCAGAGGCTGGATGGACAGAGCTTGCCAAGCGGTCTTCAAAGTTTGGCACTTGGGCATCGTTTCAACCAGACCCTTGACAGAGTGAGCTTGCCAAGCGGTCTTCAAAGTTTGACATTTGGAAGTGGGTTCAACCAGAGGCTGGATGGAGAGAGCTTGCCGAGCGGTCTTCAAACCTTGACACTCGGATTTTTTTCAACCGGACCCTTGAGGGAGTGAGCTTGCCAAGCGGTCTTCAAAGTTTGACATTTGGAAATGATTTCAACCAGAGGCTGGATGGAGTGAGCTTGCCGAGCGGTCTTCAAAATTTGACATTTGGAGATTTTTTTAACCAGAGGCTGGATGAAGTGAGCTTGCCAAGCGGTCTCCAAAGCTTGACATTTGGATTTCATTTTGCCCAGAGCCTTGAGGGAGTGAGCTTGCCAAGTGGTCTTCAAAGTTTGACATTTGAAGCTTTTTTCATCCAGATGCTGGATGGAGTGAGCTTACCAAGCGGTCTTCAAAATTTGACATTTGGAAATGAATTTAACCAGCCCCTTGACAGAGTGAGCTTGCCAAGCGGTCTTCAAAGTTTGACATTTGGAAATAAGTTTAACCAGAGGCTGGATGGAGTGAGCTTGCCAAGCGGTCTTCAAAGTTTGAGACTTGGATATCGATTCAACCAGATCGTTGAGGGGGTGAGCTTGCCAAGCCGTCTTCAAAATTTGACATTTGGAAATGAATTTAACCAGAGGCTGCATGGAGTGAGCTTGCCAAGCGGTCTTCAAAGTTTGACATTTGGGCATCGATTCAACCAGACCCTTGAGGGGGTGAGCCTGCCAAGCGGCCTTCAAAATTTGACATTTGGAAGTGAGTTTAACCAGAGGCTACATGGAGTGAGCTTGCCAAGCGGTCTTCAAAGTTTAACATTTGGGCATGGAT